CTGCCAGTGGGACCCACCTGGGGTGGGCACAGCTGACCTCCAGCCTGGGCTCCCAGGCACTACAAGACAGAGTTCGACAAGCTGAAGATATGGTACGAGCATCGGCTCATCGATGACATGGTTGCCCAGATGCTGAAATCCTCCGGTGGCTTTGTCTGGGCCTGCAAGAATTATGACGGGGACGTCCAGTCAGACATCCTGGCCCAAGGTGGAGCAGTGTGCGGTGGGCTGATTGTGGCCACCCTCACAGGGCCACCCTGACCCCCATCCCGCTGCAGGGTTTGGCTCCCTGGGGTTGATGACCTCTGTCCTGGTGTGTCCGGATGGGAAGACCATTGAGGCTGAGGCTGCCCACGGTACTGTCACCCGCCACTACCGGGAGCACCAGAAGGTGAGTGTGCTCTGCCAGCATGACCTGCCTGTGCCAGGCTGCCCACAGCGTGGTGCCTGTGCCAGACAGCTGACCACTCTCTCTGCACAGGGACGACCCACCAGCACCAATCCCATCGCCAGCATCTTTGCCTGGACACGTGGCCTGGAGCACCGGGGCAAGCTGGACAGTAACCCTGACCTCATCAAGTGAGCAGGGTGGGGGTCCCTGCCAGCAGCTGCTCTCGTTGCAGCCATGGTGGGATTCATAGTGCCAACGTGGTGTCGCCATCCCCAGGTTTGCGCAGACTCTGGAGAAGGTCTGTGTCAACACAGTGGAGAGTGGGACGATGACAAAGGACCTCGCTGGCTGCATCCACGGCCTTGCCAAGTACGGGTGGCTCTTGGGGTGGAGCTGGGGGTGGCTGCCTGCCATCAGGGTAGGGTGGCCATGTGGGTGACCATGAGGGCAAAGCTGGCCCTGTGTGGTGGCCACAAGAGCAGGCTAACCATGGTGGGGGTGACCACTGGCCTCTGGACAACCCCTGGGGATTTAAGAGTGTCTAGTCACAGCTGGCATGGTCAGGCTCTGCCTGTAGCTGGGCAGGGGCCACATCACATACCCAGGACTATGCTGCCTGCAGGGGGGTGGGTAGGGATCTCCCAAGCACGGGACCCCCCTAGCCCCTCTCTGTCCCTTCAGTGTGAAGCTGAACGAGCACTTTGTGAACACAACCGACTTCCTTGATGCCATCAAGAACAACCTGGACAAGGCCCTGGGCAAGAAGTAGGAGAGCAAGGGTGCCCTGTGGTCTTGCTGTCCCTGGGATGGATGGGGTGGGGTGTGCCCAGCGCCACCCTCAGCTCCCCAGCTCAGTTCAGAAACAGTTGAATCATTTTTATAAGCAGTTTTCTTACAAGTGTTTTTAAAGCTTTTGTAGCAGAGGTGTGTAGGGCTGGGGGGACTGTCCTGCACTGACTCATGTACCCTTTTCCCACCACATGGTGCCATTAAACATGTCCCTGGCCACAGCGTGTAGTGGTGGCACAGCTCTGTGGCACAGGCGGGGGGGTGCCAGACTACTCACCTGCTCGCTAGCTTGGGAGACCATGGGCCCCCACACTTCGGTACTGGCCTGAGGTAGTGTGTGGGGGTCTGCACTGGCTGGTGGCACAGAGCTGACCTGGCCAAGACTACAGCCATCTCCATCCGGCCCCAAGGCTGGATGATGTTAGGAGGTGAATGGCAAGGGGTGGCTGGCACACTGCCTTGTGAAGGACTGAGTGGTGCCACCCCCAAATCCAGCCCCTGGCTTTTGGGATGGGGCAGATCATGCCCCGCCCTGGGGAGCACAGCTGCCAGTGATATGTGGCATGCAGGGCAGTCACATCAGGGGTCCCAGACTCTGTGCCCTGGCTGGACCTAACATCCTGGTGCCTGCTGGGACCCTGCCCAGCTCCAGGCAGACTTCAGGTAGGGGGGACACACAAATGCTGTGGGTGCTATCCAGTCCCCCTACCCCACAGCAGCTATGTCCCAGCTGCTTCTCCCCTCAATCCCTAGGCATGGAGGAGACAACCTCCTACCTCATGGATTGTGCTGACCCAGCAAGAGCCTCTTCCCAAGCCCCAGAGCAACTGAAGGAGTAAGGAGGGAGTGCCAGGTCCTTAGTGTGAGGCCCTGCCCAGGACCCTGCTCTGGTTCCTCAGCCCCTCACAGCCCCCTGCTCCCCGCACAGACCACACAGGTTACACAGGTTTACAAAGCACATTGGTTGAAGGAAACTGAACTCAGTGAAAAGATAAATCCAACCATGCGGCACATCTGAAAAAAATAAATTACTTTCAAAATACCATCATCTGCTGGGGCTGGGCTGGGTCTGCCTCCCCAGATGTGCCGCTAGCTGCAGCTCTGGACCGCGAGCTGTGGGCACCAACTGTACCCCGAGTGTCTA